AATTGAGAGCAGTATGTGGCCAGTAGACTAAGACTTGACTTAGACTTCCAGCCATGCAACTTATTAAAATAATAAATATTTTCATTATCCAGAGAATTCATTATAGTTCTCTGTTTTAACTATTGTTAATAATAATTTGGATTAATTGCCAAGTTAAATCATTAAAAATTAAATCCATATATTTTGCTTCTTTAAAAGAGTGATAGTTTGCAACCATTTGTGTATTATGCATGGCAAGTGGGAGAGCGATGAAATATGTTGTGTTAACTTAACTTTGACAGCATCTGTATCCATGCCATATTACACTCTGGTCTTATCAAATCTCCGAAGCTACAGTGTATAAATAGACTGTGATGATATTTGCAGGAGAGAAATCATTCACAATATTTTTGGCATCTTCTGTAGTGACTAGAGAAGAACCACCTAACGAATATAGGATGCAATAATGCAATAAAGGGGTGTATAAGAGCATAGAATCAAGGAGCATTTACACACGCTGAGTCAGAGTTAAGGTTAGGCATACGTTAGCGATCAGACATAAATGAAACTTTCATTGTAAGAAATTTCAAAGCAGATGGCAAATTTAAATGAATAGGGAAACCCAATTCAGAGCTCGTTTTGCTCTCTGCTGAAGCAACACCAGCCATTGTGCTGGAACTTAGCACTGACTTAATGAAACATTATCAGGTTGAAGACATATAGATACAGCTGGAAAGTAAAGCTATTTAGAGAGTAAAATTTCCTAGAAATGTATATTTTTACTGTGTTATGAGTACTAAACTCTAGGTTGTGCAACTGCTCAAACAGCATGTTACTGAGCTCAATATAGGAAAAAAAGTGGAACCAGATAGGCTATTATATACAGGTGGCTAGACTACATAATCCGGTGGGTTTGCCTTGCTGTAAACTATGAGGTTATGAAGAAACCCTACATATAAAACCCTTCACACTTAAGCCTATAAGTACCTAATTATACGGAGCAGGCTTTTAAATTTAAATCATAGTGGAGAAGGTTTTTAAATTTAAATTTATTTAAATTTAAATAGCAATCCTGTTATAAAGTATATTTAGCAGACTACTTTAGAGACCCCTGGACAAAGAAAGTACATCTTAAAACACTGAGGGACTGCTTGTGCAACACCAAGTCTAATTTAGGACCCCTTGTCCCTGCAGAGCCAGTGCCCAGCTGAAACAGGTACTACTCAGTATGGTGATGAATTGTTGAAGCAAGACTAAATAATACTACTTAGCTTTTTCATCCTGTGAAAGGTATTTGTGTCTGGGCTTTATGTAACCACTCATTGAGGTGAGAAGTGGTGACATGTAGCAGCCTCCGTTTTGTCCTCGAAACCTCAAGGTGCAACACTCACAATCTAATCCTGGACCACGCTGCATATATACACAGCAGTGTGGCTGCCCCCTGAAACTGCTAAAATCCACAGCCAAAACCCCAGGGTCTGACCGTGTCCCACATCCTCAACACCGGTGTGTCAGAAGTGGGGAAAAATGTAGAAAATCACATTCCTGAGACACACTGTGCTCATGCCAAGGAATTTCCTACACTGGTCACCTCCAGAGCTCCTCTCCTGTTCTTTGAAAGCATTTTGCTGAGGTGTTCAAAATTTGCTAGGAATTCATTTCTCCCTGGGTACATGTTTTAAAGGTGGGTTATACCAAAGAGATACTATGGTGATATTTTGTGTAGAGGATGTTGACTAAGAACGTAGTATTTCTCACCTCCCCCTTATTTTATGTTGCATTAAAATTATCTTTACTCTTCCTCAGGCAGTTGCTATGCCACACTTCAAGACAGAGTCTGGGAAGTGGGAAATGTCAACTTTTAAGATGCTGTTCGGCTTCCTTGTTACATGCATTCTTTATGTAATGGATTTCAATTACATATTGTTTCTAGGCCTTCAGCTCTTCTTAGAAAGTCTGCTTGACTGGGCACAGTTGCTTGCTTACTCTTAATGAAGAGCTGTTAACAGAGGAAAGAGCACAATGAGGGGGCAAGTAATGCCTACATGAATCATTAAAAATATATGTACACTGAGCAGGATTATATAGCACATGGCATATTTTTATTTATATTATGCCATGCTTTCCTAAAAAGGCACGCTTCACTACCTACAGGAGCTGAAAATATGTTGACAACTCACACAGCAAGGGATGACAGGGGAGAACCGGTGGCTACGGGGAAGACGTGGGTTGCAACAGGCAGCATGAAAGGAGTTCCTTCAGGCATGGGCCTGAACTTATTTTAAACAGTCTGAGGTAATTTACTGTGCATTACGGTTGCGCTCATAACACACTCAGTGATAGATGGGACGTTTTTAGGTAAGAAAGCAGCAGGTGAGGTTACTGTTCGATGGCTGACAAGTGGAAAGGGTATGAGTGAGTGAGACTGCAGAGCACAGAGGATGCTCCAGTCACAGTAACCAAACACGGTCCTATGCCAAGGAGTCAGCAGAGGAGCACAGCAAAACCACAAGCCTATCCATTAGGGCACATCACAGGGGAAACAAAATCAGGGGTGGAATTTTAACCTGTAAGTGAGGTCTCGCTGACAAGGAGTTTCAAAAACACCATCAAGGCCAGGGGGAAGAAGGGGAAACTTCCAGCACTTCGCACATAGCCAAAGCAGTTTGAGATTTTCAATTGACATTAATTTCAATGCAATTAGTCTTGATGTTCTCTGCTCCACATGAGAAGAGAATCATGGCCATGATGGGAAAGAAAAGAACACCACAATAATAATATACATGCAAGAAATGTAAAAATAAAATAAAATAATCTTGTGTGTTAAAACATATTAAAAACATAAAACATACTGCCTATGTCGCTATCATTATGTATTGCTGTTTGAAATTTAATTCACTCACTGCTGTTCATGCTGTTTACTTTTTCAACTGATGTCAGTTTTGATGATGAATTTAGCCCACTGAATTTCACTTCCAAGTTTCCACACGTCTGTGAGCTGCCACTTGTAAGCGCTGAAGTCCAACTAATGAGTTACAGAACTATCTATGGTCAGCTCTAGCACTGACCTGCAGTCCCTAAAGACAGCCCTAAATTTAGTCCCTAAAGAAATGCAAGCCTCCCCTGCTGTATATACCATTACAAGGGTGATTTAAGCACTTCTGCAAATCACTGGGTAAGGTGGCATGCAGGGAATGATCCAGGGCCATACTGCAATGTGAGTTGTGAAATCTCCCTTAAAATAAGAAGAGTGAGGCAGCACAGGCCGTGGCTTAAAAAAGGTCAGTGTAAAGATGCCGCCCTTCACACTTTGGTAATATATTTATTGAGAATGTTACCTGCTTTGAAGGCCCAACCTTCAGCCATGCTAAGCTTCACCCCAGCTGCCACAAAAGGCTCTTTTCAGGTATATTTGTGTGTCCATTAATACCAGACCAAGCCTGGCAACTGAACTGGCATGGTTTTGGTTTTTTTTTTTTTTTTTTTTTATTTTTTCACTTTCATTGTCATCTTCATTCCCTCTGGCTAGACAGAAATTGCCGCAAGCCTTCCCAGCCCGGGACACCACACTGGGGGAAGTGAGAAGAGAGACCTGGCCGCAGCTGGCTCCCGGGAGTCCCTCCAGGCTGAAGATGCGCCACATCCGCAGGGTGGCGGGACTTCTGGCAGTAGGAGGCAGCACCACCTTGGCTGTGCAAGGGAACGCAAGCAGCTCTGGAGTGGCTCGGGATTTTGACTTGCCGAAAGCTTGCATGCAGACGCACGGGATTTCAAACCTTTCCCTTGGAGCGTGCCTACCCTGCAGCCAAAGTTGTGGCTGTAGCTTGCGCGGGGTTACCAACCCTAAATGAAATAGAGCTAAATCGGGAATGAGTAAAATACAGTCACAACACCAGCCGAGAAGCCTGAGTAAATACTTGAGCCTGTGCCAGGGCTGCATGCACATTCGGGTACCCCCAGTCAGCCTCAAGCCGGCTTGGATTGGTCTCCCCAGAGCAAAGATCTTCCAGCGTGGGATCGTGCTGTGGCTATTCACATTGGCACTCTCACGTCAATAGCCCTCTCTTTCCATCACAATTTTGGACTTTTCTTCTCCCCATCTGCGATGACATGGCACTTCTCTGGCAGCTATTCACTGCTTAGTTGAAAAGCCCTGATATTCTGGAAAGTATTTAATATGTGTTAACCTCTCTTAATGTGATTCAGCAAGCACAAATCAGGAGAGCCTGCCTCCCCTGGCCAGTCAGGTATCACACGGCCAGTGCTTCACGCAGACTGGACAGTGCAAGCAGCCTCACTCTCTTTGGGTGGCAAGCACTGACGATTAGTACTTTTATTTTTAGCCAGAGATCACACATTTTTAAAGGTTTCATGAGCAACCCAGGGACCTTTAATCTGCTGTGCAGGTCTAGGTAGCCCTGTGTGTAGATGGATGGATGTAAATGGAGCCCATAGGAGCTGTGATTTGCACAGGTGCAGCTTGGTGCAAACCCACATTTGACCCAGCCACAGACCCCCAAGTGCTGGACGGCAGCAAGGGCCCATGTTGGCACCCAGGGCTGCCCTGGGACCAGAGCAGTGGCCTGCCCTACCACAAACCTTCCCCAGTGTCTCCTCAGAGTTCCTCCGCCGAGCATCCCGCTGTTTTTACGACGCGTGAGGTGCTACCCAGGGGCATCCTTGGGGCCGAAGGGCAGCGAGCACTCGTGGAGGAAGAGGAAGAAGGGGGCGGGGGAGAGAACCCCAAACCCAACTTCGTGCGGGCAAGCCTCTCAGGGTGCAAGTTCCCACCAAGTCCCCCCAAGTCCCGTCCCCTTCCTCCCGCGCGTCCCTCCCCCGCGCTGAGCGGGCCCTGCGCGGGTGCTGCGCGGACTCTGCGCGGGCGCAGCGTGCGCGGGGCGGGCGCTGCCTCGGCTGCACTCCCGGCGCTCAAGGGGGAGGGAGGAGGCGCGGGGGAGCGGGGCGGGAGCGAAGCGCGGCAGCGGCGGCGGCCGAGCCGAGCCGAGCCGAGCCGAGCCGAGCCGAGCCGCTTGCAAACGAGCAGGGTTTTTGGGGGGTCTGCTTTATTTTTAAGGGGGAAGCGGTCGGAAGGTGGCGGCGGGGGCCCGTCTCCGGCCGCGCGTATGCGGAGGGGGCTCTGCGCGCCCTCGCCCTGCCCGCGGTGCAGTTAAGATGCGCCCCGGACGCCGTGCGGTTGCAGCGCCGCGGCGCTGACATCTCTCACCATGGACAGCTTCGACTTAGCTCTCCTTCAGGAGTGGGACCTGGACTCTCTGTGGTGAGTGGTGCCTCTGGCCCGCCCCCCGGGCTCGGGGAGCAGTCGGGGAGGGGGGCAGAATCTGCAAGGGGGTGCTATAAACGAGGGGTGTGCAATAACTGAAGGGGGTACAATAACTGGGGGATATGCAGTGATTGGGATGGGTGCAATAATTGGGGTTTGTGTGCACTTACCTGGTGGGTTGGATAAATTGGGGTGGGGGGTAATAGTGGGTGTGCAATAAGGGGAGTACAGTGGGTTGAGGGTGTAATAACTGGGGCGGCGGGTGCATTAGCAAGAGAGGGTGCAATTGCCCCGGAAGGTGTCTCCCCTGCTACTTGGTCTCCCAGGAGGGGAAGAGGGAAGGGTGCCCCCCCTCTTCCCGTGGCTGCCGAGGGTGGGTCCGGGAGTTGGATGTGGTGTTTAGCTGGGGGAGGTGGGGGGGTGGGGTGTCTCCCGCACTCACATCTCTCCCCCTCTCAATTGTCCCCTGTGCTCACCCGAGCTGCACTCCCGTAGCTCATCCCCCATCCCTCCTGCACGCCCCTTTCACACCCCCGTTTCGCCCCTTCTCGCTGCGCCGCAGCTCCTTCCCGGGCAGCCTTTATTGCCTTCCCCGACGCCCCTTTCTGCTTTTCTCTCCTGTCCCCCTTTTCCCCCTCATTGCCTCATTGCATGCCCTTGACCTCCCCCTGAGCACTCCCGTGCCTGCCCCCCCCCCCCCGGCTGCGGGTGCGGGGCTGCCAGGGAGGAGAGGAAACAATTTCTAGAAATGTCATTAGCGGCTGGAGGTGGGAAGCGGTGCCCTTCCCCCGCACACCCTCCCCAAGCCGCTGCCTCTGCCAAGTCCTGGAGTTGACTGCGAGAGGCAAGCCGCCCCCCCACCATCGGCCCGGCCCGGCCCGGCCCCGGGGCGGCAGGACCCTGTCGGGGCCGGCCGGGGTCCCGGGGGCACACACACGCTGCGTGGCGGCGACCACAGGGGCTACTCGGTGTGCTCCTTGGGCAGCGCCGGGACCCCCGGTGCGACGCCGCGCTGGGACGCGATCTCGGCGGATCCCCGCTGTGATCCTTCCCCAGCGGGGTGCTCGCCCCGTCGGGGCTGGGGTGCGCTCAGCCGCGGGTGCTGTGCTGCCATTAGCCAGGGCTGCGATGGCAGCTTGTGTCCTGCCGGTGAGACCGGTAGTTTGGGGAGTTGAGAAGACTTTTGCCTAAATTCAGTCAGCGGTATGCATTTTTAAATTATTTTTTTGGACCGTGTGAGGTGATCTATAGCTTCTGTCAGCAGGGTGCGCGTTCGGCAGCGCCGGCTTATCTCTTCGGTGGCAGGTGTAACAAAATAAGCCGGACCAGCGCATCCCTCTTCTTACACAAGACCTCAGGGTGATGAGAACAGCTTGCAGTGCATAATAGGGTGCTTAGAAATGCATACATTGATAACATCCAGCCTAATAAAACTTTTATATTGCTGTGGGAACTTTAAAGAGCACATCTAATAGAAAATTAGTTACTACCCCATAAAACTTTTTAATTACAGTGTTTCTGCCTGTGACACAAGTTAAGGTTATGTCCTCATTTCAATTATAAATACCAATATTCAGTTTATAACCAAACCATAACATTTCTTTCTGGGCCGATTTTAAGTTTCCAGTCTGTATGTATGGTTTTACCACTATATTATATCTTTTTTCTATTAAACAAGAGCGGGGCAAATAATACTTTCACACATTTGTATGCTTTTGCCTTTCTTCTTGAATGAAGACAAACTTTGGGGGAATTTTCTTTTTCCAGCGAAAGCATGCTGTTCATTAGTTGGTTCTGCAAGCTGGCTATTGGAGTTAATATTGAATTTGAAAAGCTAACAATGTAACTATGGAAAGCTGGGGCTTTGGGATGTGTCTGGCGATTGCTCCTTTTCATAACCTTTTTAGCATGCTTTTCCACTATTGCGGAGCCACTTGCAAATGATCGCTGTTGCCATAATGCTCCTGTACAGGTCCAAAAAGACATCAGCCATTTCCCAGCTGAATTACCTGCTTAAAAGTATCTGTATTTGCATTACAAGCAATCTTGTGGTTTTGTTGCTCTTGTTTGCTTTCCTCTATAGTTGTTGCAGTTTAGAAGGCAGGGTCAACAGAAGGGCTTCAAATAACACGTTAAAAGCCAATGCATTGTGACAGGCCGCCGTTTGCCGCTAAACAGTCATCCCTGCATAGGGGTTGAGCCCACAGATGTGCAGAGCAGTGCCTAGAGAGGGGAATCACACCTACTTTAAGCAGAGCTCATCAAGGGAGCAGGGGTTTTGCAGGTGTTTGCTGTTGAGAGTTTGCATCATTTTGGGGCGCTATGTTTGGCTGACCAGCTTTGGCATAGAGTATCTGAGATCACAGGCTGGAGGTTGATCATGAAGCAGCTGTTTTGGCAAAAGGTTCAGAATAGTCATTTTAATTTAAAAGTTATATGAGGAGTATTAAATAAAAACTTAGTTTCTCATAGTGAAAGCTTCCAAAGTCTCCTGTGAAGGCCAGTGGTGCCTCAGTGCTGCAGCAGCCGTGGCAAAGGGCCCTGGGTCTGTCTCCCATAGCTTGCAGGGCTCATGTCTCCCATTGCCCTCCTGCCACCCTGCCTGCTCACTGATGGGCAGGTTATGGATGTTCTCAAGAAACCTTATCTGAATACTGTGCTAAACTGACCAAAACAAAGCTGGTACTTCAGCGTTAAGCTCTGAAAGCTTGTCAGGATGCCTTCAGAGGAGTGCAGTTGTTGCCAAAAAGGGAAATAAAATACACCACATAGATAGGAAGCACTTCATGGCAAAGAGCAACACTTAAAGAGACTTAATTTTCTCTGCAGCAAGAATGAATGTTGTCCTTTATTCTTTTGAATGTAGTCATAACGGCAGTTTGCGCATCTAATTTCTGACTGAAAATCCACTTTTTGAGGTATTTGGTGAACATTTTGCTTAAAAGTGCAATAATTAAATATTAATGTGATATTCTAAAGTGCCTTTTTTTTTTTTAATTTGGTATGTTCTTGGAAAATCAAAAGGGGTTCCCAGATGAACAGCAGCATGTTAATCAATTCTCATTGATTGTTACTTTTATACTATTAATGAATTTACTCTCCAATTAATACATGCTATGTCTTTTATTTTGCTGTAGCATAGAAAATGTAGTAATACATTGTGTCACGGCCTTAGGACAGTATTTAACTAGTAAACTGCAATGGGAGAATATTGTTGGCTGTTTTCTACTAAACAGTATAGTTTTTTTCAGGTTGTATTGATGCCAATAACACTTCTGCTTCCCAGAAAACTACTATAATTCAAATAGTGAAAGCTGAGTACAAACTCAAACAGAAATTTTAAGAAAACATACCAGTCTATGGCATAAACAAAACTCATGCCCATTTGGTAAGCTTTTCTGGAACACTTTGGGATGATCATCCCAAGGTGTCCTTACTGCTGACTAACACAGTTATCCAAAACACATGGCACTAACGACTTTGAACCACAGCCTCATCTCCTGTTTTTCTTTCTCCATGCATTTATTTGTATGCTATACGTGTAGTTTTGCTTCTCCAGACTCAAAATGTGGATTCTCCAGTGCCTTGTAGGTTTGTATTTGTTTGCACCAGACAAAAAGAGATGGAAAACTTCAGTTAGAAATGTTTTATATGCCTTTCGTATGGTGGAAAACATATTCTACATGACAGAAAGCAGCAAATGAACAGACCAAAGGACTTAATTGGAGTGCCAGGCCTAGTTCTGCACTGGAGGTACTCATGTTATTTGCCTTATTTCACAAATCTAGATCAAAATTCAGACAGGGTCTTAACTCTGCTTAGGCTTAGGCTTAGGTTTAGGAATAGGCCTGGTGAAGACCACTTAGTGAGGCTCTCCTCACATGCTCATGTTAGATACACAAGTAGGCTGGATTTTCCCCCATTCATTAAAAACAATTAGCAGATTGATTGAAGCACTTACTGTGTTGTACCAAACAAGAAAATAATTTTGAGTGTAAGATGTTTGTTGACCAAAACAAACCCATGTTGTTCAGGTAAAGGAAGCCAAGTAGGTATTATTTTATTTGGTACTTGCCTAATACTTCTGCATTTTTTGGGTTAGCATCTGTTTTGTAGGGGTTGGATAACCATGTAAAAAATGTATAGCTGTATAGCTTCCAAGTTGAGATCAATATCAAATGCCACAGTGTAAGGTGGCCCAGCGTGTTTTACAGACCATGTACTGAATTATTAGTTCATTTGCTATCTTTGGGTCTGTTCCTGCTCCATTTGAAGTCAATGAGAGTTTTGTTTGGAAGTTGCTACTAACAAAAAGTGGCCAGACATCCAGCAGTCTTATAAATGAACCTTTTGTAACTTCTTGATCCCAGGTTGTCTAGCTTGTAGTCACTACATTTTATATTTGTGTGAGTCAAGATTTTTTCCTCATGTTGGGTAGTGTTTACTGGAGATAATTTTAGAAAGCTAACTCTGCAAACGCTTCCTCAGTCAAAGCAGAATATCAAGATGCTAATTTTCAGATAACTCTAAGAAGCTACTTTGCAGGGAGCGGGCTCGCACCAACCATTCTCCCAGTAGGACAAGCGTCTGGACCAGCTTACCCTCTTTACAGACAATACACAGCAATAATACCATCCTCTCACAAAAAAAAAACTTGGTGTCTTCTTTTATCTCCCATCTCCTTTGCAACTCCGCTTCAGCCTGTGTTTTGGACTATGTTTTCCCTTATTTCTTTTCTTTGGCTCTTGGCCTCTTTCTACCATTAATGCTTAAAATCCTATTTGTCTCCTTATTTCTAACTTTGTGGTATTTCTTTCCTGTTCTGCCTTCCTTCCACTGTCAACTCACAGTTACCACTTTTCTCTCATTGAGATCCCATCTGAAAATTTGCTCTTCCTGTGATGATTATAAGTTACGAGCAAACAATAACACGTGCAATAACTATAACTTGTTCCCTTTTCCCACTTTCACAGTATGTTCTCTCTTCCTGATGCCTG